TTTCTACAGTCACGCTATAACAAACGCTATAATTCACAACGAACGACTCACGTGCTCGACTCAACTGTCCGTCTCTATCTCCAGTTCAATTACATTGTTGCCGTCACTTCTTGGCCGTCTTATATACAAGAATACCGTACATCTAGTAAACACTCGAGGCTTCAGGAACCTTCGAGAATATGACGTGTTATTAGCGTCACGTGACCCCCGCTGTTGTAACACTGCTCCTTCCTTGGTATTGTTCGTCCCGAACAATAGCCACTTACATTAAACCAATAAACAATTAACAATAACTTGATTAAATGTACAGAATTTACAAACACAAAATTAGAATTCAACAAAGTCTCTTAATTTTACGGGACATATCATCTTCCGTAGTGTTCTCCGTCTCATTGGCGTCTCCTTCACGTAAAGTTCATCTGCTTCATCAGGAAACGTCCTATTATCAGTAATAGGACTTTGTTTAATTTTAATTTTGTGTTTGTAAATTCTGCACATTTAATCAAGTTATTGTTAATTATCTATTGGTTTAATGTAAGTGGCTATTGTTCAGGACGAACAATACTAAGGAAGGGGCAGTGTTACGACAGCGGAAGTCGCGCGACGCTGTAAGCATGCGCTGGAATTCTAGAAAGATCGAGAAACCTGTCGAAAATTAACAAACGACCAGAGATGTAACAATATTTAGTTTCTATGTCTTAAAAGTGTTATAAGCATAATGCTTGTATCACAAAATTATGCTTTTGATCATAGTTATTTCTATGCTTAATTTAAAAATCTATCTCCAAGTTACTGTTTTTCTTATTGAGTCTTGGAACATAAAGTTAGATTTTTCAACTCTTATAACATTTCTCGATAATGACCTTCAAACTAAACCTAGTGATTAATGAAAAATAATTAATAATAATATTCAAAATTCCTTTAAACATTTTAACCAATAATATTAAGGAAACTAAATTTAAAGAAGTATGGAGTGTGTCATTATTTGTATCAAGAAATCCATAACAGTTCATCTTTATTTTAATGGTAAAGAGAAGGGTGACCATATAAATAGCATCATGAAATTATGGTTAGCCTTCAGGTTAAATACCGGGGCCGATCAGGATGTATTAACCTACATAGAAAGTTGAAAAATATAAAGGAATGATAAATATCTTAAAGGATTAATATAAACAAACCAAAAGGCCACCAACAATTTTCTTGGCATTTTCCTTTTTTGCTTTCTATCCTTTCTTTTTTTTTTTTTTTTTTTACTACTTTTCAGTTGGTGCAGTATGAATTCATAAATACGACTTCTCATAAATAGATGAAAATACATATGTAAATATAATTAAGTAGAACAGAAACAAAAATAACGTAGAACTGTATTGTAAAAAAAATTGTTTTCTTTTCTCAACAGAAAGGAACTGGGCAGTTAGAGTACTGGGTTAGAAAATACCAAACTAAATCATGTGCAGCATCACAAAAATGGTAAGATAGCCTCACTGATATACATGTTGGTGAAAACATGACATTAGCTTTTACCTACTCAGACTGAAAAGGTCATATAGAATCTAGAGGTATGGTAGTTACTCCAGCCAAGAGCTAATGATAGAGTAACACTACCAGGTCTCTGTACATGACTAAACACTTAGTCAAATCTGAGGTATTGGCACAGTTGTTTCAACT